CGTAATAATCGTAACGGGTCGCGTCTTATGCGTCTCTCTGAATTGAATCCCGTTTGTGTTTTTATTTTGTACCCCTCGCCGACCTGCTGACTCTCGCACAGCCGCAAGACCGCTAAATGAGCCTTGTCGCGAAGTCATCTTCGGACGACCCTCAGGGTCGTCGAAGATGACTTCGGTCAGGGGTTGAGGCCCCTGAAGGCCGGCCGCCTAAAACCCGCCGTCATATGCGGCACCTCACCAAACGCCGGACGGTCATATGGGTTTCGTCCGTCTTCTTCTTCACTGCAGTCAGCCGAATTAACGGATTTAGGTGGGGTCCCTGAATAGGGCGCACGCACTTAGCGCTAGACATGAATCAACACTGACTTGATTCAAGAGTACTTGAAACACCCTTTTCATGACGCCACACTTACGTATTAGAAATCCACGAGGTGTTTGTTCAAAAGTTTAGGAGGACCGTTACAAAATATCAGGTTATTTAAGCTCTAAAGAGAGTTTGCACCTCGACTGAGTAGCTTAGGTCATCAAGACGGAGAATTGTTTATCAACGCAAAAGGACAAGTAAAGAGTTTGAAATCAAGCGCGTCCTACCTTGTAAATTAAACGAACAGTAAAACTTAAAAGCATGAGCAGTAGTTATTTGACGTCTCTTGAAACGCCCAGGAGTAAGAGGTGTCGCCGGAAGGGGAAGGTCACACAATAAAGAAGCAACAAACAAGGTCTGTGGTCTCCCCGGGTAAACGGGAGAACAGCTATGGCGGGGGCACGTAGGACCATCCATGAAGACCTCAAGTCGGGGGGGACGAGCCCCCAGAGAACCCTAACGAGACATAAGAAGAAAGACGTCAAGGTCGCCGTCGCCATCTACCGGAAACATTTCAATGGTTCGGTTTTCCGCGTTCTTCTCTTTGATGTTCCTCGGCTGATGCTGGACGTCAGGTCGGTCTCTCAGACCGGAAATCAGACTCGGACCGCCATCTGGGGACACCAGGGGGCCCAGTCGTGTCCCGACATCGGACGCCATGAGGTGAGCGGTGCCACGGCACATGAGCCGCCGCGAAGACGGGAGGTGTCTGTCCGTCGCCATGGCTGGTGACAGCCGTGAGACACCGCAAGTCCTAGTCGTCGACGGCAGGACATCTTGGCTTACGACCTCGAACTTCCCCAGTCTCCGGGCCGGGGCCGGGTGAGGGTCGACCAGAAACGGTCCCAATCCCGACCTTCCGTTGCCTCTAAGTCGCAGAAGGGAGGCACGGTCTTCCTGGGATGAAGTATCCAGAAGTGTCCTAGACTTTTTTTGTCCAGGAAGAATAGAAAAAAATGTGTGTTAAATTAATGGTTAAGGTGTTATGTGGGGGTAGTTAATAACAATACGGGCATTTCTGCTAACTTTTAACCGTCATTAAGTACAGAAAACGAGAGCGGAGGAAGACCGGTTGGGGAGAAATGACAGCCACTGACAATTACGATGTGGAGATATGCGTATGGACCCCCGTAGGTTTTCGGTAAATTTATTTCCATCACAAAATTTTTAAGGTACTAAACGAGAGGTTTTGGCGTTTTGTCAATGTCTACAAAACGTATGGTGTGGAATAACTACTAGTTAGTCATGCTTTGTATGTAGTAAATGACAGCTGAAGATCTAATATTTTTCGATTTTGAAAATGCGAATGTAATGAAAACTTACACTTCGACGGTTAATACCTTTACAAAACCAAACGTAATGCGAACGGAATTATGGTGTCGTCAATAGAAGGTGCCTTTCAGGCGTTGTCCGTGAGGGTCAGAAGAATATTGATAGTGGATAAGAGCAATGTCATAAAAAGCATAGATTTCAGCGATCAGGCATGTGATTGAGTGCCACGGTCGTAGTCGGGGCGTGTCTCTGCCGTAGAGGAAACGAGAAGTGTCGAAACCTAATACACAGAAGATTCGGTGCGTCCTATCGTTCTTACTGGTTAAAAAAAAAAAAAAAAAAGAGAGCGGATGTAAAGACTATGGTGGTCTATAGCTGTGACGGCGGACGCGAGGCGAGGACAGCAACCGCGCTTTGCTTCAAGTGTGGGGCAGCCGCGAGCGTCAGGTCGGTGCTTCGCTGTGAAAGGCGAGTGCGAGAAGGACGCGAGAGTTTCTCGCGAGAGACCGACGTGTGTGGCGAAGCGCGCGGGCTAGTGGCCCTGGGCGAGGTGGCCGCCGCGCGGCCGATAAAGGCGCGCGCGGCGCAAAGCGGCGATGCGTCGGACTGGGGAGGGCATGTTGTCAGCTCTGTAGTGTCCGTCTGTTGTGTCTCGGTAGTGTGACTACAACCACGAAATGGGCAATATATGGTCAATTGGTGGGTGGTGTAAGTTAATAATTTCTTCGTTGTGTATAAATGATTCTCCCCGAGTCGCGTTTCTCAGAAATTTAATGGGCATGTACTTCTCTTAAAGTTGCTCAGAAGCTAACCGAGACCTCCGACCTTCTCAACCGTGAAGGACGATACTAGGTGGTGAGGTGGCTTCACAACACTTTTTTTGAGTGGTTTGCAATCCGCCCAGCCAATCAGAAATATAGCTCTTTTCTCACAAGAGAGCCGCATGAGAGTCTGCTCTCTAGCAGGGACGGAAAAGGGGGTAAAAAGGTTCTCATGAACTAATTTTAGTTCCGGCTCTTTTTGGTGTGAACGCGACATTTCGGAACTATATCGGAACTAAAGTGGGAAAAGTACTCCGGTGTGAACGCGGCTATTCTGGAACAAGACTTTTGTACACGTTTGAGACATTTGAATTTCTGCTTTTTGTTTTATTGTTTGTACATTTAAGTGTTTTAGCTTCCTACTAATTGTTTTCAATCCCTTTCATAGATTTAGCATATCTTGTAAAAATTATTTTGATTTTCAGAGGGAATGTAAAATCATTTAAAATGAGCCATTTTCATTTTACCACTAGCTGCCATAGTTCTTTTATTGTATTAAAACGTTTCTACCTGGTTCTTGTGTTGTTCCAGTGTATCTAAATATAGACAACAATGT